TTTTTATAGATCAGCATTCGTCGATATCGTTGAGTATTATGCTTAATTTTGACGCCAACAAACGACGTAGCATTCGTCGATATCGTTGATTATTATGCTTAATTTTGACGCCAACAAACGACGTGGTTTGCACATATGAATTTAAGAATTTCTTTAATTTATAGTACACACAATAATTAAAGATTGTCAGTTCTAACACACACAAATGATGGGCTACCTATAGCGTTTTATTAAGTAAATTCAATTATTTTCTACATGCACTTTAACAAGTGAGGAAAATAATGTTTAATAGGTTTTGCTTCAACTATACAGTTAATTACTTTGTGTTTTCCACACATGCACAATTTTGCATGCTTACTAACAAAATTAAAAAGATCTTACATAGGCATAATATTACTCAAAATTTGGTATTCGAGAGTGTACCCCGAGGTATCGTATGCTAAAAATTGTCACCGTTAAACTCTTTCAGAAGTTACTTGCATATTTACTAAGGATTAATTTTTAAAATATTTTTAATAAAAGCGCTTTCAATCATTTTAAAAGAACTTTTATATGAGCACTCACATGCTAGTTTAACAAAACTTAAAGAAGCGCTTAGAAGAAAAATACATAATTTCGGAGAAGGTTGACTAAGGCCCCATCACAGAGAATATGTGAAATTCCGTTCTTGGATTTCACAGTTATAATTTACGTGTTTGTATTATTGAGATTTTATACTATTTTTCGGGAATTTAAATTAATTTTAGATTTTATTACTTAAGTACAAAGTTGACTTTTTTTTTAAATAATTATTTATAATCCGTAGACCTTCTGGGGTCACTCTTAATGTTTTCGAATTTAGCTCAACACTACAAGCGCATAGGCGAAGGTCGTTTGTGAATTGAGATGAGGAAGTAGAAGTTACGAACGTTAGAAGTTTCTTAAATAAAATAGGAATTTAATATTGTTGGGGTTCCCATTACCTTGGGAAGGGACCAATTAGAAAGAAAAAAAAAGAATATTAGAAGCTACCAGATGGCAACAAGAAAGAGGGGAGAAATGAGAGATGTGAGAGAGGAAATGAGAGATGTGAGAGAGAAAATGAGAGACAAGACCAATCAGAAAGGAGGGAAAAGGGAGAACCAATGGGAAGAGAGAAAATGAGGGAAATGAGGGGAGGGGAGAACCAACAGACCCGATTCCCTCCCTTCAACCTGCGACCTGACCCAATTCCCTATGCCTTCTCCGACAGTTTTTTGTCAATTTTCCGGTGAATCACGTCAAACAACCACCTGGGAAACACTCCACGACATTTCCTCTACCAATTCCGCCCTAAAAATTAGTGAATTTGGCCTTGAATTCATGAAACCCGCACCAGTGGGTGCGGTGGTTCCATGGTGGTGATCCGTCAATCTCGAAGCTAACTTCGTCAACCACCACCACCAATAAACTCCCCTCAACCTCAGGAACAAAGCTCATGCATTGGTTGGTGTGTCAAAGTTGTTTTGGAGTCGAATCAAGAACACCCAAATTCAAGGGTTTCCGGCAGGTTTGAGTGAAATTGGGGCTTTTTCGGCCAAATTGGCTTTGGTCATAGGTATGAAACTTGCTCTACTCATTGAGATCTACAATTCTATAAATTTTGGTAATTTTTGGAATTAGTTGGATTTTTTGGTGAGTCAGGGCAGGCATCGATACGTGGGCTGAGACCCCACCTAACCATCCTAGTCTAATTTTGATACCCCAATTCTGTATTTGACATCCGTTTAGTGAAATTCTGATGTTTTAATATAGTTTCGTAATTGACCACCTAGTTGGCCGCCACGGGGTTATTATATGAATTGATGATCTTATAGTTGGATTTTCACCAAACTTAAGTACGTAATAGTACATAATATTTGAGGATAGTAGAAACGATGGATCAGAAATCTGACGTACAGATCTTCCCGAATTAGATGTTTAAGTTTGAAAAACTAATTGTTGACCACCACTTGAATTTGAGATTGGCGGATATCCGACCGTCAGATCGCGATGAGATTTTAGTATGCTGTTTGAGGAACATAATGTGGATCTTAAGAAGTTACAAGTCTAAAATCCGACGTGCAGATCTTCTGGATTAAATTACTAAGGTGTAGAACCCACCGTTGACTAAGAGTTGACTTTTGGTCAATCGGTCTTGAACCATTTGAATTACTAAAATTAGTATTACTAAAGACTCAGTGAGGCTTTGAGGACTTGTCTCAGTGAGTGACTTTAATATATGTTATATGATTATTACCCTGTTTTCTTATATTAGTATCCTTTGTGGATATGACTTGGTTTTATAAAAGTGTTTTCTGTAAAAATGTGATTTTTATAATTGGCCATCAATCTATTTTTATTAAATGTGATTTGATTCATGGATTGGAAATATTTTTGAAAAAGTGATTTGAAGTGCATATTGAAATAGTTGTTAAACTGAAGGCTAGTAGGGAACCGTTACCTTAGTGTCACGGGGTTAGGTGACACCGAGTCTGCACCATGTAGCAATGGTACATGGATGGTCCTGCTTGGTTAATCCGCAATAGGGGACCATACCATTTATGGATCGCGCTTGGTTAATCAGCGATGGACAATCCTTGTGGCCATGTATACTTAGGAGTGATCATGTTTGGTTAATCCGCGATGAGTGATCACTGCCTAACAATTTTGTAGGTGTGACTCTGCTTGGTTAATCTGCGATGGGGGTCGCTATTGGTCCTACTTGGTTAATCCGCGATGGGGGACCATATTATTTATGTATTGTGCTTGGTTAATCCATGATGGGCGATCATTATGGTCATACATACTTAGGGGTGATCATACTTGGTTAATCCGTGATAGGTGATCAATGCCTAGCAAATTCGTAGGAGTGACTCTGCTTGGTTAATCCGTGATTGGGGGTCATTATCTACATGGTTACTCAGGAGTAACTCTGCTTGATTAATCCGTTATGGGGGGCCACTACCTACATGGTTACTCAGGGGTGGCTCTGCTTGGTTAATATGTGATTGGAGGTCACTACCTGCATGGTGTCGCGGAGTTTGTACCGCTTAAGTGTGATAGCGGCGCCGGCGATAATGTTTTTGGTATAGTAGGTTCTACTCTCCTGCTCTCTAAACACCTTAGCTCCAACGAGGTAATTCTCACTGGGTGCTTCTCTTATCGCTCGCCCTGGACTTCCTCTGATTCCACTAGCTTCGCACCTTCGTAAGTGTGATGGTCCACTGCTTCATCGACCGAATTAGAACCCCCTCCGCTTTTCCCAGATCCCAACATCTGCCACTACGGTCCACAAATTATCTAATTTTTTATTCATTTCTTGTATTATTATTATACTCTACAAGAGTGCGACGTTCTCAAACATTCTATTTCGATTTGTGCAACTTCTGTTCTCCTTTCTTACCATTTTCTGCTGGTTTCGTTGCCAATTATGGAATAAGGGTATAAATATTTTTTTTTTTTACTTGAAGATTGTAGAATAAGTCAATGATAAACCAGTCGAGTTTGTTATGGTGGATGAGTTTTTGTATGTTATGTGTGATATAAAATGTTTGTTATGGTAGATAATTGTTATTCATTTCTATTAATGTTTGCTTTGGCCTAAAATATGTCAGGAATTTTTTTTATATAATTTTTTTATTAGTATTAATTAATTAATTAATTTTTATTTTTAAAATATTTTGTGTCGCTTATGGATGACAGCACAAGAAATATTTTATGTATCGACATGTTAGGTAATGTCAGTTCGAACCAACAGTAGGTTTGATTAATTTATTATTTTAATTGCTGATGTCGGTTAGGATCGACAGTATGTTTGATATTTTAATTCTTTAATTGTTGCTTGACGTCACTTAGAACCGCCATCATGTCAGAAATTAACATCTCTTCTAACTGACGTAATGTTGGATGTCGCTTTTAAGCGACGCTATTGTTCTTTTTTATTTTATATTACTTTGCTTCTTGGTGGCGGATTAAAGGGACTAACCGATGTCAATACCTTTTTGGTGACGGTAGCAATGTTGTCGCTTCACATATCTGACATTGCACGACTTTATATCACTTAATGTTTGTTTTTACACCGCCACTGATAGCCTCTTTTGTAGTAGTGGCCTTGATCTAGGTCGGGGTGTGTCACATAATGTATACGAAAAATCACTATGCAATTCGAGGCTTGAGTGTGCTTGGTACATATCCTGGAGGCAGGGTATGTTAGATACACGAATACTTAGTGATGTTACGTGTCGATCCTGAAAGTATGTCAGGATCGGGGCACGACAGAATAAAAGCTGACCTTAAGTTGACCTAACCTACTATAAGTAATTAAACAAATTACAAATTATCATTTTTTGAATAAACAAATTATGAATTAAATATATCAAGCCTACTATAACGCCCAATTTATAAGTAATTGCATTTTTTTTTTTTGGTAACTAATTTCGCAAAATTTGGAAAATCACACAAAATTGTATAAAAAAAATAGTGTTGTTATCCACGCATTTGTTTTTACGTTTCACATGCCCTTTGTTAATTTATGTTTTTTTTATCTTCTTCAATTCATTCGATCAGACAACCAAAAATTAAAGGGTATATAAAAAAGTAAAAAGAGGTATGTAAATAACACCATCCAAAATTTTAACTAATTAACCACCACGGGTGATCATTGGTTGTGGATGAATTTCAAGCCACTAGCTAATCCTTTAAAAAAAAAAAAAAACTAATTGAAAGTTTTGCAATAATTTGAGGTCTTAATTTTTTTTATTCTTTTGGTCGTTTCCCGTTGTATTTTAGATCTGCTTTGAAAGTGTAATAAGTATACATATCTCTTACATTTTAACGTAACAATAGGATTATAGGAATTAATCACGTCAATTAATGTGAATTCCTTTTTTCACTTAATTGGAATCCTCATATTTTCTTTCCTTTTACAATTAATCCCAATTATGCTATAAATTAACTTAATTATATCATGAACCTGCATAGAACTTGTTTTTCACATAGCCATGGCTAAGCTTCGGAAGAACTTGTTCACATCTGCAGTGTTGATCACTCTTTTGGTTCAAGCCATGGGTTACATAATCCCTACCGATATGAGAGCCGGTCACGGCTATATAATCCCTACCGGTGGAAGCATCGGTAACGGCTATGTAAACCCAACAGGCGGAAGAGACGGCAATGTTTGGCAAGATGCACATGCAACGTTTTACGGTGACATGAACGGAGGAGATACCATGCGTAAGTGAAGAACTTTTGTTCGCTCTGGTTACGTGCGATTTCTTTGTTTTGTTGTTAACTAGAATTTGATTAGGTTTTGACTTTGTGATTTGTTGGACAGAGGGGGGTTGTGGATACGGCAATCTCCATGAACAAGGCTATGGCCTCGAGACGGCAGCCCTAAGTACGGCCCTCTTCAACAATGGTGGTACTTGCGGTGCATGTTTCCAGCTCATGTGTGTCAATGATCCCCAGTGGTGCAACCCTCACGTTAGAGCCATCACAATTACCGCAACCAACTTTTGTCCGCCAAATTGGGTTCCGGCTCCTGATCACTGGTGCAATCCACCCCAAAAGCACTTCGACCTGTCCATGCCTATGTTCGCAAAGCTCGCACAGACAAAAGCCGGTATCATTCCAGTTAAGTACCGCAGGGTCTCGTGCCAGAAGAGAGGAGGGGTTAAGTTCGAGCTCAAGGGAAACCCCTGGTGGGTTACCGCGACAGTGTTCAACGTCGGCGGTGCTGGCGATGTTACGAAAGTCAGAATCAAAGGATCTAGCAGGAATTGGATTCAAATGTCAAGAAATTGGGGGCAGGTTTGGGTGGCGACCGGAAACCAACTTGTAGGGCAAAGCTTGTCATTCCTAGTCACTACGAGTGATGGGAAAACAATAGAGTTGGATAATGTCGCACCAGCAAATTGGCAGTTTGGACAAACCTTTGAGGGGAGAAGAAATTTCTAGGTTTCTAGCGTTTAGGGTTTAGTTTTCTAAGAGTTACTTTTACAGCTTTTGTTTTACCTATTTACCAGATTTTAGAACTGATCTGTAATGCAGATGGTGAATAAAAACAGGTTTTTACGCTCTTTTCTTTTGGCTAAAGATACGCTATTTACGAAGATACTTTTTACAATAGATCGTTAACGGACTCAGAAGTAGTCACATTAGGTCACATTAGGTCACAAGTTGTATGAACTTCAAAATTTTGAATATGAAATTACACAAGAAAGAAAGTGACCGCTAACGCAAAGTGTTTATGCTGAAAATGTGAGCGTTGCGCTGTTTTCTTCCGTATGCAGACTGAGCATGTCAACTAAACTGTAGAAGACAAAAGCCAAACCTTCACTTCCAATCAAGCATGTCTAATAGCTTCAAAACCTCTTCCTTCGAGTTCGCAGCACCCATGAAATCCATTGCGATCCCAAAAACATCAACAACTCCTTCATCTCCGTTGTCCATGAAAAGCAAAGAGAACCGGGCCCAGATACCTGAAGTGAATGGGTAACCGGGGAGAAGTCAATGTAGTCATTTGCCGTGGCTCTATATGCCGATCGATCAATATAGTCAAACATAGAATTATCAATTATACATGCAAACCTATTAGAATCCTTGCGCCCAACAAGCACTGAAACACTCAGTCTGGGTCAGAGGATCGATAAACCTTCTCAACAGCGAGTTTCATCTTGTACTCAGGACCCTTTAGGTGAAATCTAAGCATGTCACGTACTCCTGGTAGTGGGATTTTGATATCTCTATCTAGGACGCGGCCAGGGACCACTTCAGAAAAGAGAAATCGATCTTCATCCCATATATCAATGAAAAACTCCCAGTCATCAAAGGAAAGCCTTGGTGGAAGAAGAGTTCAACGATGGTGGCGCTTATAAAAGGGTTGATACAGCTTGTAATATGTTGAAGTGGGAGGGTTAGGTCGCTTGCAGGTAGAGGGCCATCTCTGGGCGCATAAACACTTCCAAAAGAAATCATCTCTAGTTATGCGTCTCCACTGCTTGCACACTCCCATACAAGAAGCAAGATCCACCCCTCCAGTAAAGGAAAAACCGCATCTTCAGAACCTCTTCATTCACCATTTTTCAGCTCACAAACAATTCACAAAAAAATCCGCCGCTACAACTATTGTGAATGCAAATTTCTTCCTTCTTGTTCTTGGAAAAAATTGCACCTACAAAATAAATAACACCTTAGGTCAAGGCCAAGAGCCTCACGCGCCACGATGAATTGGAGGGCTTTGGCCGAAGAACCTCCGATGCCAAAGTTAGAATTTTGTGAAAAAAATATTTGGAGAATTTAGAGAATTTTGTAAGAGTGTAGATCTTAGGTTTTGAAGAAAATGAGGGTGTTTATATAGGAGTGTGGCCGGCCCCTTTGGGAGGAGATGGACCAGCCACTTTGATGGTTTTTTTGATGAGATTCATGATTTGTAGGTAATTAATAAATTAATTGAATAATAAATCAATTAATTAGGTAATTAATATCATTTGAAATGAAAGATTTGAGAGTTACCTTGGGGAGAATATTTGATGAGGATGGATGAAATATATTTTGAATAAATACTTATTTTGAACACTTCTGACCTTGATTGAGTCATGATTGTTCACTGCGCGTATGAATTCCGGTATTCCTTGATGATAATTTTATCCTTTTTACACTATAATCCACGGATCGCTTCCATATTTTTCTCGATTATTTTTTGCTCCACAACTATCACTACATAGGAGGACTAAAATCAACAGAGATGAGAACAGATAGAAAACCCTGCGGAAAAAGGATAAAATCCAAGATCAGAAAATATACACTCGTAATAAGTTTTTCTTATAAGATTAGCACACGGTCATGAATATGCCGTATAGCGTAACGAGGAAAACACAAAAGATCATATCAAAATCAGTTCAGATATAACGAATGACTTCAGTGTTAGATGAATCATAAGAAAAAATACTTGTTCCATATAACAGGTAGCCCCGAGAAGGAGTAAAGAACGTCGCATTATGTCTATCAACTCAGTAAGAACCTCGCATAATCGCATGAATCATAAGAAAAAATACTTGTTCCATATAACAGGTAGCCCCGAGAAGGAGTAAAGAACGTCGCATTATGTCTATCAACTCAGTAAGAACCTCGCATAATCGCATTGTATTGATAATCGGGATGGACGGTCTAAACGAATAAGCAAACTTTCAAGCTTCAACCAAATAGCTAATTTTCGTATCGAACAACTGTCAACATCCCGTCCTGGGACGGACCACTTTCCGAGCCCGTTTCACTACCGTAGCATAATATTGTCCGCTTTGGGCCCCGACCACGCTCTCACGGTTTTGTTTCTGGTAACTCACGAGCAACTTCCCTGTGAGTCACCCATCATGAGAGTGCTCTGGCCACCTTCTCACTTAACTTCGGAGTTCCGATGGAACCCAAAGCCAATGAGCTCCCAAAATGCCTCGTGCTAGGTAGAGATGAAAATATACATTTAAGGATCACTCTCCTGGACGATGTGGGATGTCACAACAACCACGGAATTCTTCCTACACTTGAATGCCTAACAACGTGCGGATTATCAATACATATGCACACACAAACAGATATATATGTATAATAAGGGCGAGCCTTGGCGCAACAGAAATGTTGCTCCTTTGTGACCGAAAGGTCACGGTTTCGAGTTGTAGAAACATGCTATTTGTAAAGATAAAGCTGCGTACACTAGACATTGCCCCGATCTTGCAAAAGCGTCTTGTTGATTTAGGATCGTCCTTTTATATATGTATACATAACAAGACAATCTTAATTCTTTCTATCTCCTGTTCAGATTGTTCAGTTCCAACACACATAATGAGCACATATTTCTAGCACTTGATTAGATCAGATTAAAAGGCATAGAAAACAGGGAATTAAGAAAATGAAATACAAAATTTAAAATTAAGACTGCAAAAAAAAAAAAAAAAAAAAAAAAAAACCAATCATAATTGATTGGAATGAAAAACCCAAAAACGTTGATGGAAATTGGAAGCAGAGGAATGGGGAAAGTGGGAGATTAGAGTTAGGCAGAGGCCGGGAGGAAGGAGAGAAAAGTAGCAAATTAACGATAAAAACAAAAAACAATAAAATCGCAATAAGGGACTTTGATGTAAAATTAATAGTTTTGGGGTCGCCAATGGCCCAACAGAGCAGCAAAAGACCGTTGGGCAACCCTAGAACTGAAGTCGGGATGGGCGGTGGAGCAGGCCATCTTAGCTGAAGAGGAGCCCCTGGTCCTGGTCGTTATCCGATTCGGCCGCCAAGGGGGGATGCATGCATGCAGGTTGGAACTTTGAACTTGAAACCCTCATTTTTATTAATTTATTTTATATATTTTAACAAAGAATTCAAAGGAAAAAGGATTAAATTGTTTAGAGAAACCCTAGTTTTGATTGACAATTAGAAAAGGATGTGAAATCAAATATAATTTTTATGGAGAAATAAGATGAAAATGCATGATTTTGGTAATGCGATGAACTTCCAAAATTAAAGGGAAAATTAAATAAAGACCAGGTTTTCAAACCAAAATTAATAATAATATTGTTGGTTAAGTCAGTTGGGTAGAATTGATATTATACCGCCGCTGTACATTTAAATTTGAATCACTATCTCTGTAAATTAGAATCATCCATAATATATCGTATGTATCATAGAACAATCAAAACCTCACTTGTTGGTTATGGATTAGGTGCCGACAATGGTTAATTTGAGTTGAGCATATATCTATATATACTTGAAGAGGGTTGAGCATATATATAAGAAGTGGAAAAGTGGGAAGAAAAAAAAAAAAAAAAGAAGCTAGAGAGGAGGAGGAAAAAGGAGAATGCAATGAAGCATAGTGGGGCAGAGTTGGTTGAGACTAGACAAAACAAGTGGGGTTGCAACCAAAAGAGCGTTGAGTGAGTGAGCCATGTTCGATTATGGCAGCCTCTGCCGACGCAAAAACAAAAGGAATAAAGTGATCAACAACTTAAACCTAGCTCCACATGATATTGCATATCTCTCTCTCTCTCTGCTCAGCTAGTTCATGAGCAGTAGTACTCACTCACCTGTCCTCTCTATACAGAAAAGTGCAGCGGATCATGAACCAGAAAAAAGATGTTACATCACATCTAAATCTCTATCTCTCTCCCGATATAATTGGATTTGAATTTTAAACAATTATATGCCTTTCATCATCAGCATAATCACAAGTAAAAGTAAAAGAGGCGACTTCACGTCAATAAGGCTCTGTTTTGCGAGGGTTGGCAGGGAACGTCTATCTTACGCAATTTTGCCCTTATTTTGTAAAGAGTTTGTTTCTACAACTCAAACATGTGACATTTGGATCACAAAAGAGTAACATTTCCCTCACACAAATACTTGCATATATATATGTATGTGTGTGTGTGAAGCCTATAATGACCATTCCTATCATTAATTTGGACCTATAAGTAATTAGCACATGATGATCATCAAATTTAAAAGACCAAAACAAAGTTAACTTTTGACTCTATGAAGTTTCTTATAATTAACCCACAAAAACACGAAGAAAAAAAAAAGAACCGTTAGTGCGGTTGGACCAACTCCCTTCAATCCAAAGTCCACTTCTCTATGTCTATGTTTATATGGAAGAGGGTGTGAAAGATAATTTTGGAAGAAAAATTGCTCAATTTCTTACATGTAATGAAGATTTTCTGCTTACTTACTGTAACTCACTAAAATCACAAAAAAAAAATTGCATTCAAACATCAAACTATGATCTATCTGTTAGAAGAAATAAGGGTAAAATATAAAAAACTATCTCAATGATTGGTGTCATGATATTTTCATACCTCATCTTTTAAAATTGACAATGTCATACCGCATCTTACGAATTTGTGACAATGTCATACCTCCGTCAGTTTTCCTGTTAATTTCTCTGTTAAATGCTGACGTGGCCTGACACGTGTCCC